CTTCCAAACTTTAGATCTGCAAATACCAAGAATGATATACACTCTATACTGCCGTAAACATTTTGCGTTCAGTTCTATGAACATGTGTGAAACTTACCAGTATATAAATTACTAAGATTGGAAATAATAAAATAAATTAATCCCCCCAGCCGGGCACCGGCTCCATGCAAAGTTCTTCAAACCCACGAACCACAGCCGCAACCGGCGCGATAGCGGCTTGACCGCCGCGTTTGTTTTCCGTACTCTAGTCTCGCGTCGGGAATCTCCGGGCCCATGGAACTCTCAGCGTTCGCTCTGCGCACCTCTCACAGGAGGGCCACTAGGATGGCCTGCACGGACGTTCACTCGCATCGGGTTCCAATGGCCCAGTCAGCTACGAACGAAGTGTGAGCGCTGAGTTGGCATGGCCGGGGTTTGGTTCAGAGCTCTGCAAAAGTCACCTCATCGACCGACCGAGCTCGACAGGCAGGCGGTCGGCACCGACTGCGTGCAGGTGAGAGGTGAGGAGAGGGGCACCCGCTCTGTCTCTCCTCCTCACCTCTCACTCTCACCTGCACGAGGTCGGTGCCGACCACGTGCCGGTCGAGCTCGGTCGGTCGACGAGGCGATTTTGCAGAGCTCTGGTTCGGTTCCCGGCACTGCCACCAACATGCGTATCTCGCGGCTATGTATTAACCAGACCAACCATACTGTAAGCCTACAAGCCTTCAGTTTAATATTTATTTACAGTAGTTACAGTAGCTAAAACATCCAAAGATGAAAATCTACCGAGCCATTTCCGAGCACACTGCGTCCAAATTTGAACTTTGAACAAATTTTCAACTTTGATTTACTCTTGATTGGCTCATTAAATTTTATCAAGCTTGCGGGTGTTTAGTGTGGAACGCTCTTACTCTTCGAAATATATATAATTTGTCTAGGTTTAGGTCCATATTGCACGTAAAAGGGACCAAAAATCCCGTTTTTTCTTATTTTGAGCCTGTTCAAAGTTTGGTGTCCTTCATTTTGTAATTGATCTATAAATGTAACAGCAAAATTGTTCTTACAAAAGTTTTAGACAGCGGTCTGATCTACAAATTATATTCAATGCTGAAATTCATATCTATTACCAGTAACGAGCTAGGTAGAATAGAATATATCCAAAGACGCCTGGCTGGAGGTCGTTGTCTGGGTTGCCTATCAGCGCCGTACGGCGATTCTCCACAGGGTCTCCGCAGACAAGCAGCGCATCGCACTCTCTAGATCGAAAAAGCTCGTCAACAAATAGTGCTATCGAAATGAACGGAGAGTCATTTCTGAAGAGAAAACTGTGTGCTACAACGTTTACAAACACACTTTTAGTCGAATTCTCATTTGTTCACTCGTAAAACCAATAAAATGAAAAATTGCACACTGTGAAAACCAGAAAAAGGCAGGTTTTTGGCCCATATCATGATGAATTTGGAACCAAACCTCAACAAACTTTCCATATTCTGAAAGGGTAGATCTATGCGCATTAAACGGTCGTAACCACAAAACAATTTGATCCCTAGTTAAGTAGTTAATAAACTTTTAAAAAGTGCCCAAATTTGTACTTTGAACGCAATTTTTTCGAAAATGGCTCCATCAAAAATTCTAAATTTTGGATATGTTGTTCTACTCGACGAGCTCTACAAGAATAGCTTGGTCGCTTTTAGTCGGCAATTTTTTCCTACCTTCTTATGGGAGTTGTCGAATATGCACCGTACTATTAGGATGGCGACCCACCCACACCATTCCATTTTGCTGCATCCAGACAAACAAAACAAACATTTAGATTTGACAATTGAATTGTGGCAATAACACTGCCAGGAATATCATACAGCACATATTGCTGTATTATATCCAGGCTTTCAATTTCTTCTTGTGAAAGTGGTTACATGGTGAGGGAGCACAGTTCGGGTAAGGTGACATTGTCATAAATAAATTGAGCTCTTTCTTTGGCTTTTTCCCTTGCTACAGCTATGATGTCTACTCCAGGTAATGATTCTGATTCCTCAAAATCATAACTGGATCATCTGACAGCTTCACTCAACCGAGCCAGAGTTATTACTTTTAAATTTTGGAAAAAAGCCACAGCGTGGGGCACTGCCTGTGAAAATCTGATTAGGGAAAAATATATTCTCCACACAATCTTGGACAAATGTCCCAAACATCAGAAATTCGTACCCCCTAACATGCAAAAAGTACTCCTGCAGACCAAGCAAACCATTACAGAGGACACGCATACCTCTTTGGCATGGTTTCCATACACCTTTCTCTCTAAACTTCATATTTTTAAAAATATAACTTACTTTTTTAATGAAGTTGATACACTTCAAATAGACTGACATATTGTTTTTAGAAATGGCAAGGCCTCGGTGCCGGCAAGTAACAATTTAAAAAAATGTGTTCATTAGCTCAATAAACCATGGTGTAGTAAAATATGATGCGTTATCCATGTCTTCAGCAACCACTTCAAGACCAGCAACACTTCTGTTAGAGAAAACAGCACGATGAATACCCATTTTCATCTTATCAAACTGCTTGTTGACATTGATGTTGAATGGAGTCAATCTAAAAGCTACCTTCAGTTCTGAATTTTGTTCAGATTCATACAAATCTTTAATGTGCTTGTAGTTGACTTCATCTGATGGCAGACCCCCAGATGCCACAATATCAGCTGGTAATTTTATGATTGTGTTGCTTTCCTGAGTTGACTTAATGCCCTTAAAGAGGTGGATAGCATCAGGGAGGACAAACACTTCAGAATTTCTGCCAGGATTGCAGAATGATGAACGTAATTTACAGCGGTTCCCAACCACACCATAAGCAGCCCAGGAAGACAGATTTTCTGGACCCATGTCACTTGTGATTGCTGCTACCTTGAACCCAATACTTTCTGCTTTTGTAGTTGTCTGATCCAGAATGTTCCTGTAAGGCTTTCCAGTGCTAATCAATTCTTCACTATTGCAATCTGTTTCCCATGTGTCTTCACCTCAGTTTTTGTTTCTTTTTTGGAGCTTGTTAGGTACGCGGCAACAGTTAGCTTCCACCTGCGCTGAAGTCCAGCCAACACAAAAATTAACGCTTTGCCTGCCATCCCCTGATGTGAGAGAAATGTGGCCAAACCCATGTGCTGCTTGGTGCTGTGACAGTAATTAGCGTTTCAAACAGCTACGGCCGCGCGCCTGGCAGCCGGCGCGCGAACTAGCGAATCCGTGATCGGCGCCGCGCCGCACATAGGGCTGTGCATGGGTTCGGTGGGTTGGATCGACGTTTCGTCGTTATTTGGGCAAAATTTTCTAGTGCAAAGTGAAGAATACGATGGGCGATGAAAAGAACGATAAGAAGAAAACCAAAGATAGGCATAATTGGTGTGTCCCTCAGTGCCATAACGTAAAAGCAGAGGGAATTCATATGCACCAAGTGCCAAAAGACGACCCAACCCCAACCCGGCAAAAATGGGCTGTCGCCATAAAAACGGGCAAAACTTATGTCTTTAAATATCTCTATCTATCTATTGTTCTACAATTTATTTTGTGCAATCACTTTTGTTTTTACCCTTTGACAGTAGACAATGATGACAATGACAACTCCACTGTAGATTAGTCCTCTTCTTGCTGAGTCTTGTGCTTTGGTGTTGGGTTTGATTTGATTAATATGTCTACTTAGTTTTTTAAAGCAGTTTCCTCTCTCCCATCATGGGCATCACCACCACCACCATCTAAGACCACCATCCAACATTTGCCAACATAAACACTCAACAAAAAATTAAGTTTATGAAGTTACCCCCCCCCCCCTTTTTCTTTCTCTCATTAAATGCACACTCTCTCCTGCAGTTTTCTTTCACAATAATGTACAGCAGTCCACTAATTTCTTTTCCTCACCAAGGAGCGCTTCTCAGACAAGAAGATCTGTCCAGACAATGTCCTCAGCTGCCTCATCAACCTGAGTGCTCTGTGCATTTCTCTTGGCATTGGAGAAATCTCCATGCCCAGGGTGGGCTGTGGTCTTGATCGTCTGAAGTATGAAGATGTGCTGCCGTTGATCCATGCTGCCTTCTATGACTGCAGTGTAAAGGTCAACATTGTGACTCCACCTCCAACTTTCAACGGAATGGCAGTGCTTGGTGACAGTCAGGGACTTCGCCTTCTTCTCAACCGAGGGAAACTTCCTGCTTGCTTCAAGACAAAACCATTCCCACGGTCTGCTGGTTTCAGTGTGTCTGGACTTACAGTGCCTGAACTTCTCAAAACTGTGGAAGTGCTCCCAGACAACACTCTTGGTGATGCCCTTGTCTACATTGGCACCAATGACCTTCTTGCTTTGGCAGCGATGGAGTCTGGACAAGTAAGTAAACTAACAAATTAATTATGTACCTATAACAACACACAGTTTAAAATAATATTTTAATTACTTTTTTTTTTTTTTATAACAGCGAGCAGCTATGTTGAAAATGAGGCAGCTTCTATGCATTCTGAGGACAGTGTTGTCCAAGAAGTGCAAGGCATATGCCCGGGCTGTTGTCACCACTGTTCCTCCTCTCCCAAAGTTGCTTGCACAAAACGGAGGGAATGAGGGACTGAACCGCCACCTGTGGACCTCCTTCAACAAAGCTCTGCTGCAGCTCAGCGCACCCAGATTCTTCGTGCTTGATGTGGAGCAGTTCTTCATGAAGGATGGGCTGGTGCAGGAGGATCTATTTGAAAGGTAAGCAGCAGTTTTAGTTAAGAGTGTTGAAACATAAACAGTAAAATTAACAGTTAGACCAATTTCTAATTCTGTGTCATTCTTTTTCTTTTCAGTTTTATTGGCCATGATGCCAAGAGGCGTCCGGATAGGATGCACATGAATCCTCAAGGGATAAATGTCATTGAAGAAGCTTTTGAAGACTGTTCCACCATTTCAACCCGCTACCAGTAACAACTAGTAATATTTTGTAATAGCTTGTAAAATTTTCTCTGTTGATGAGAAAGCATATTCAGCTATTTTTTTCCTTTATTCAACTAAATCACTGTTTTCAGTTTTTCTGAATTTGCAATCCTTTGTTGGTTTCTACTGTGATAATAATAAGTATGCATCAGGTGAGCTAGCCAAAGTATTATCACCATTTATTATCAAGAACGGAATTGCTCACACCTCAGTATTTCTCGCTTGTAGTCATGAAATATACTGACTCAAGTTGCTGTGATTTCCACCTCTAATAATAGCAATTGGAACTAGTCTGTGATTTTACAAGTATATTTCAATATAAGTTGTGTATATAACAGTGTTGTGAATTAACTGATTTTACTTTTTGATGGTTTCTACTGTGATAATAAGAAAGCATCAAGTGAGCTTTGTGACCATTTAATATTAAGAACGCAATTGCTCGCACCTCAGTATTTCTCACTTGTGCATGTAATGATAAAATATATATAGTCAAGTTGCTGTGATTTCCACCTCTAATAAAAGCAATTGTAACTAGTTTGTGATTTGACAATTTTAGTTCAATATAAGTTGTGTTTATAAAAGTGTTGTAAATTGGCTGATTTTACTTTTTGAATACACTT